CATAGTCTCCTGTGGTGGATTTTCCTGTATCTGATACTCTGAACATTTGTACATGGGAACTTGAACCACTTGCAATTTTCCAGCACGAAGTCTTAGCAGTACACTGAGTAACAATGTTGTATTGTATTTGCTGAGGAAACAGGCTCAAATATCTGATCTGCTGTAAGTTAGATATCAGCCTAAGATTGTTTGTAGTACTGCAGATGATCCAGGAAACAGAACTTTTGTGTGTAGATATTTCCCTGGTCACGCACTTACTGCTGACTTATCTATTGTGTTCCAGTAGAAGCTTATGACCATGTACAAATTATTCACCATCCCAATTGTTTAATGACCTGATCAGTACATTCCTAGATAATGTGCATGAGTAATATGTACAATGGCACTGCACTTAGAGTGAGTATCTCTTCTTTTAAGAAAAACTTAAAAGTTAAAATTACAGAAACTATGATGTCAATTGTCTGCCTATGTTTTACTCTTTGACTATCTATCTGAAAACATTTACATTTGAACTCGAGTTCTAGCTTCTGGATATTCAGATCCTTACAGGGTGAGCCAGTGTGGTCTGGGGCAAGCAGTATTTATGCTTGTGTTTAACAAAAGTATAGAAATAATTCTGTGGGGCTTTCTTAAAGCATATACTAAAGCATATGCTCAGCATATGCCTTGCTATGTTGGATCTTAGTAAAGATCCCCTGCCATTTTGGGGACCGCTTGTTGCATATTAATAAAACTGAAACATGGGTAAACCATTTTCATTATAAAATCTAAAATAAATATAAATTTTATCAACATATCAATATAAAATTAGCATCATCTGCCTGTGATCCAACAAACATTCTTTCATACAAACAATATATTTGCATATAAGCTTTCTACCTGCTTATAGGCTCAGCAGAGAGACTTCTTCTAGCAAGGAAGTTTCAGGACAGTTGTTTCTTTGTGCAAGTGTTCTTGCCACAATCTAAACATGTGGAGTTTATCAAGTTTTCATTGCATTCTCATTGCCATAGTTTTCCTGCTAACAATAAACATCTGAAAGAATTTCTTTTAAATAGGGAGAGAAATAAAATAGTCAGCTTCACTGTACTTTCAGAACTAATGCTTCATACACTTTTTTACTCCCCATCACTGAATGTATGGGTTAGCATATGAAGTATATTGACTTGTTGCAGAGCAGGAATGCTCTACAGAATCTTAATGATGCGTGTTAAGAGTATACTGCCACATGCAAAATAGGATCGTGCCTGGTAATCAATGCGTGTTTCTAGATCACCTGCAATGTTTAAACCGACTGAATAACCAATCCTTGTAGTAAAACTCACTACTGATTTAGTTTCTTAACTTTGCAGATATTTTCTCGAGTAGATTAGTCTCTCAAGCTCAAACTGTGAAACTGGCAAACAGCATTAATGAAAGTCTGACGCTCCTTCTCAGGAAAGCTCCTGTCCTCTCCAATTATCTGGGAACTTCTCTCTACCTAAGAAAATGAAAATCTGTAATTTTCCAGCCAGACACACATATCTATCCTGCTGTTGATCCATCTGCATTTTGTGCTCTGAATCAGTTGCTCCTCTCACCAAAGGCCTTGGAGTAGAATTCAATACAAAGGATGGTAACTATGAAGAGCACTTACTAGAATTAGATTTAAAATGAATATAAACACTGTATCAGAAAATTACATTTTAAATCTGCCTTTCATAATATATTTTGTGATATGGCAAAGAATAAATAACAGGTAACTTAGAATCACAGAATTGGTGAGGTTGAAAGGGACCACATTGGGTCACCTTTGTGACCCAATGAGTCCAACCTTCCTGCTCAGGCAAGGTCATCTGAGAGCACAATGCACAGGACTGTGTCTAAATGGTTCTTCTGCCTTAATGTCTGTAGGTGCTTGAAGATCCGGTAAAGAATGGAATTAATCCCCTAACAGTAAAGTCATGCATCCTGATTCATGAATAAACTGAGGGTGGGGAAACCTTCCTTGACTTCTCACTAACCCTTTTTATAGCTCCATATGAATGTGGAACAGAAGGGGTGACAGAATGTTTTCCTTCAGCACCCCACACTTCAGAACTTACAGGGAACAGAAGTAATTAGGAGTAGATATCAGGGTCTCTTGGAGAAAATAGAGCAGATGTCAATGAGATTCCAAGTCTTTTCAGTAACCTCTTGCAATGCAAAGAATTTCTGAGCTGTTAATCATTGTAATATTATCAAGGATGTGTATTTAGTGAAACTAGATGTAGCAATGTTAACTGCAGTTCTATGCAACCCAACAGAGCCATTTTTGTGCACTAGCACAGTCATTCATTTTCCGCTGCATTGGCTGTTCCAGATGAAGCTAACTAATGCCATGAAGATTAATCCAGGATTTCCCTATGCAAAAGTTAGGCCTGCTGCTGTGCTTAAACTTAGTGTTCTTGTACCTCAGCATCAAAGATGAGGTGTGAGCTGAGCAGAAGCCTTGCCCGATGTAGGTGACTGATTTTGAGAGCTCCTGTGCTGCAGTGGTGCTTTGTTCTGCCACAGCAGCAGCTGGCTGAGAGCTGAGTATCTCAGCTCAACTCTGAGTGCACGTTTTGGCACTGAAGTGTCTGATACTGCCAGTGCAACATTCATCTCGCCTCTGTCAGGGGCAAACCCACTCCCAAAGAACGATTTTCAGGAGGAAATTAAGAAGGAACAGAAGCACAAAACAAAACAGCCCTTTGCTCTCTATTCCTCCCCCCACTGCTTCTTCTTGAAGCAAGGATCTTAAAGACTGATTGAAACAATGTTGAATAAAATAATTTCAGGCATATGGCATTTAATTTCATTGCATTCATTTGGCTTCCACCCCAGTATCATTAAGCATTTGAATGGTGCTTTAGCTCCTTAGAAGCAGAGAATTCAAAATAATTTTAGTAGTAAGTACAAGGCCTGCTGTTTGTATGCGTGAGATTTGGATTGCCTTATTTACATGCATATCTTTTAGGTATGCAAGACTAAGTTGTTTTTCAGCAAAATTCGATTAATGTGGAAACATCAGTGATTTGTATGAGGTCCCTTAGTGAGTGTCAGCAATGTAACCTAAACTGTTCAGGTAGAAGTTGTTAGGAGTACAAAGCTGTAGTCCTGAGACTGAGTTTTGTCTGTTAAAACTTGAGTCAGAGTTAAGCATGCTTTGGGTAAATATATCAAAGCCACCTGCTAGAAATCATTTTGGCTCTGCAGTGTTCCAAGAGTCCTGTACTTGTTGGGTCTGAAAATAAATATCATGTTTCATTTTGTATCTTATATGTGGTACGGTCAGTGATTCAGTTCCAAGCTAAAAGAAGGCTTGGAAATGGTGTCTCCTCTAGCAGTCTCAAAATGCCCTGGGAATTCGAGGCCGTAAGAACATTCTGTAGCAGTTAAAGAAATGCAAAATTTCAGTCAGAGACCATCTATTTAAAAAAAAAATAAAGAAAGAAAGATTGCCTTAATATTATAAGACCATTTAAAAATTTGTAGTGGTAGTTTGCTGATAGTTGCAACATAAAAAAAATTATAAAACCCCATTCACTACCAATTATTTATTTCCATAGTTCTCAAGAAATTTAACATACATCTTTATTTTGTCACAAGAATGAGTGAATAATAGCAGCAAAGATCAGATAGTTTCTGAAAAACAGCAATTTTTCGAGCAGTGGAATGCCTGACCTTGTTATGAATACAAGAGAATACAGCAATATACATGTTACCTCAGATATACCATTAATTCAGGGTTCCTGTTGAGTTGAACTGAAACTGGAATTCTGTTTTGATATTTCATTTACTTGTATTAATTAGTAACTTTAGTCTCCCAGCATAAAAATGGTCCTTCATGCATACCTTCCAACATATTCCAACATAGCCAGACAGTTTATCTTCTTATTTTTTGAAGCTGTATTACATTACAAAATCTGTTTTTCCCTTTTTCTTGGACCTGATGTGGGAATAATGCAGTGAGAGAATGATTTTTTTATTTTTTAATTTTTTTTTTTTAATTTTTTAGCCCTCGGTATCTTGTCCTCTGGTGTGTCTGCCTGTTTGCTAAAGTAGATTATATTGGACAGTGTATATGTAACAATACAGCTAAGACTGGCTAGTATGCAGATTCCACTTTATCCTGAGATAAAGCTGTGACATAAACTGTCCATAGGTGAAAACTAGTGTCTGTTTTGTCCCATGACATCAGTAAGTTAAAGTTGGCTGTTAATATAGCACGTTATGAGTTTTCTGCAGTTGTAGTTTGACTTGTGGTGTTTTACTATTTGTTTGCAAGTACTGTATAGAGTTGGGATATCTAAATAGATTCAACCTCCGTGTGCACTGTACATTATTTTGTTGCAAATTATTATCTTTAAAAATTACGTTGGTGTATAGTGACCTGATTCGGTACCTAGTGATTCCATTAGGAGTTTTGAAAAGGATTCCCGTGCGTGCCAAGACACATGTCCTGATTCTGTGCATAGAAATACATCAAGCAACATTAAGAATGTCAGTGTTGTCTGGGGAGACATATTAAATCACTGGATGAAAACAACCACATCTGCTTATAAATCGTTGAAAAAGACTTGGTAACTTCAGCTGCTTAGAAAATATTTGGAGAGACCTACTCTTTACATCTTTTAGTTTGCGCAAAGGCATGAATAAACTTTATAAGCAGCTTTAAAAATATTTCCACATTCCTGTATGGAAAATATTTTTAGTTTATAGTTTCAAGACCAGAAGTTAATCACTAGTTTTTTATCCTAGAACAAATATTTACAAGAAAGCTACTAAACACTTGAAGATAGGGTGACTTATAATGGAAGTGACAGCTCATCTTTAACTTTGGAAGGACAAGCAATACCAATTTAATTAAAGCAGTGTTAAAATAGGCCTGCCATTTGTATCACAGTGATTCTCCACCCCTTCAAAAAGCCCTGCTGCCATTTTGTACCACATATTCTTGTCCCGTGCAAATTAATAGATCATTTTATTTTCCGCAGGAAATCTGAAGACTTTTATAGCAAATCCTCCAGTGTCAAAATGAACACAGGTATGCTGCATCTGTGAGATTTGTGTTGTTTTGTGAGCAGAGAAGATCCCAAATTTACTCAAATTTTCATAAACAAATTGTACTTTAATTGTTGCCGAACTCAAGATATTTTAATAGTATGCCTGCTTATGTGCATTTGTATCCCATATATAAAATTTACATACATGGTTTTCTATGTATGGACATATATATGGATACACAAAATAAAAATGCATGTTTAGCCTTCTGTGCTTAATTTAATAGTATCAGTTTTGTGCGTGTGTATGTTTTATGTGGAAATACGTAGTATGAAATATAACTGTGACAGAAAAGTGTTATTAAAGCATCACATTTTCCTAAGAAAATGAACATGCTTTAAAAATCCTTTCTTTCTGTTCTGTACTGTCACTAAATTAAGGGGCATATGAACACTGCCCTGTATTAAAAGCTGCACTTGCATATCAGCTGAGGATAACTTTGAGGATATGTTGTATTTACGGTGCTTTGTATTTTCTCTCAAGTTGCTGTAACAGATGTATTGACCAAATTAAGTGCTCTATAAAAAGTTATCTTCATGATCTATGACAGAGTACTAATATTTGCTCCTGAACTTCTGAAGCTGATAAGATAGTGCTGCTCTGTGTGCTGAAGAGGGAATAGGCCTCTTGGAAGCAGACTGCTGAAATCCTGGCCTCACTCAGGTGTAAATTTTCAGTTGCAGTCAGCTCTTTTAGACTCCACAGGTGAACTGTCTGGTTTGCAGATTAACTGTGGTGCAAGGATAGATCTATCCATCCTTTCCAAACCAGTGGCTTTATCACTGACCGCAGTGCTTCACCATGACATGATATGTGGCACCTGAGGACCAGAACTATCTTTGAAGTCTGAATTTCAGCAGCATGCTCTAAATCAAAGGGATTCGTTTTTCCGTGGTGTAGGTGCCATTATCTAGATCACTGTATTAATCCAGCTGCATGGCTTCCTGTTGTCTCAGACAACTGGAACTCAGTAGGATCCATTTTTTGAGCATATCTTCTAATACAAAGTTAAAATATATTGGCCTACTTGAAACCACTACACTTGTAAACAGAATAAGCAGGAGAAATTTACTTTCTCATTTGAGTATATCCTTTCGTTCCCCAAAGTTTTGGTTGTTCTTAATTGTTTTTCAAATGCTAATCAAGATGGTGTATTTTTAATTTATAAAAATACTGTTTGAAATTTGTCCCGTCCGCTCTCATTTTTAGTAAGATCTTTCCTAAATATGTCAGTCTCCATAATTAAGGTAGTACTAAAATACGACTTGTTTCACAGAACTGTAATTTCAGACGTAACTTCGCTAATCATCATACTATAATTACATTGTGCATTGCTGTCATATGAGTCAAAATCATATGATAGAGGTAATTTTATAGCTTCTACCTCAAAAACTGTGAATAAAGAGGTAAATTGCCAGTCTGTGCTACTGCAGCCCTGAAGTATGACTTTGTTTAATGTTGAACTAAGATTTTTGATGTAAGTTATGAATTCTCAAGAGAGAAGACATAAGATTTAAATAATCTGCGCCTGAATGACTTATCTTGGGGATTGGGAGTCTTCTGATCACACCGGAGCCTTAGAAAGTGACCTTAAAGACCTGAACATACCCAAAATCCTCTCCAGTTACTTAAAGATACCATGATTTTAGGTTGAAATTTAATCTACTCTGCACTTGGACAGTGAAAACATTTTTTTCATCTTCTATGTGCTTGATATTAACGTGCATGTTATCAGTTGCAGTGAAAGGAAGGTATTGACAGAAAAGGTGGCATTTCTTATCAGTTCTATTGATATAGATTGTTACCTGACTGCAAAAATAAATTAATAACCTGTGAGTAGGGTGTAAAAGTGGATGTCCTGCACCTGTCCTTTCACCTATCTAAAGCATTACTTCATTAAGAAAGAGAGTGACTCAGGTGGAAGCTGTTCTGTGTGCTGTTCTGGTCTAGCTATTTTCTTTTTTTTTTTCTTTTTTCTTTCTACATTACACTGTCTTCTGGACATGAGTGCTACAGCTTTGATTTGGGGTTGGTGGTTTTTTTATTTCACTGCTTTACAACAGAAATTTGTGCATGGTGCAATTGAAGGTTATCAGATGCTGTTGATTTGCCACTAGTTTGTTTTTAAGACATGCATTTCATTAATGAGTCCTGCAGATAAATGAGCTCTCTAGTTTGATGCCAGTAACTGTATATACAGCTTTAAAAATAAAAAGTAATTCTACTGCTTAGACTGGGCTCCTGTAATCCAGTGTTCCCTGTGGCTGCAGACTTGGCAGTCTGTCTCAGCAAATCCTCCGGAAGATATTTTTGTCCACAGAGAAAATGTTTTGAAGAGCTTTGGTTTGCAATACTCTACCATATATGGGAGGGATTTTTTAGCATTTGATGTCAATTCTGTACCACATGTTAGGAAGGAATATTCAGCAGCATAAGGCAATGAAACATTTTGCAAAAGCAAAGAAACAGAGGTAAGCTATAGAGGAGGTTTTTCAGGAGTATCAAAGGTACTTTGGCTTATGCTTCCTTTTGGATTTCAAATGTCACAATTTTAAAATAGGAGTCTCACAGAATGTGTGTGTGTTTTTAAACCCAGACTAAGTAATCATCAACAGAATAATATTTTAAGCTGTATTTAGGGTGTTTCTTCAATAAGTCTTCAGGTATTTTACAGATTGATGAACATCATTAACTTGGTTGCTTGATTAACTAACTCAAAGAAAATGTGAGCTGCCCCTGAAACTCACATCAGATTAAAATAATAAATAAAAGTATAATAAAGGATAAATGCCCTTACTGTTCATTATACATGTGTGCACACATAGCTCATGTCAGAGGAGAGGTAATTGCATTGAAGAATAATAAATGGATAGAAGTTAATAGTTAAAACAGATTCTTAGTGTCCATCTGTAAATATTTTGGCTGAATTTCACACAGATCATTCTTGATAAATGCATCTAGTTTTAAAGTTATTAAACAAGTTAGCTGTTTCCATTAGATGAAGCACATAAAGAACAGCCAAGAGTGAAAAGTATGCAGTTCTGGAAGACTGCAAATATTATCTGTTTGTTAAAATTATTAATGGAAGTCATTACATGGACTATTCTCTTACATTTTGTCTGGGAGGCAAGAACAGAATTTCTTGGGTCCATGCACAGTTCCTGAACAGATTGTTTAGCCACTTTTAGATCACTGAAGTAAATTAGGCAGGCTTGAGTTCCAGGCATTCTACCAAAAAAAATTACTTTTTAGCAGCATGAAATAACCAAATAATAGGTTTACCTGTCAGTGTAGATTATATGGTAAAAACTCATCAGCACATCCAAAAAGGAATTCAGAGAAAGAGGGGAAGGAGAGGATGCCCAAGTAATAGCCTGCCCTACCAGGATGCTCCCAAGCCCATCATAGGAGCTATCAAAGGCCTGCCTACCTATCTATCTATCTATCTATCTATCTATCTATCTATCTATCTATCTATCTATCTATCTATCTATCT